AGGTGAATTTCAGCAAGCCAAGCAGCGGGAAGCCCAGGCCTTTAGTCCCGGTTGGTGGCACGCACCAGGACTAAAGGGGGGCCTTTTGTCCCGGTTGGAGCCACCAACCGGGACTAAAGGTCTGGTCCTGGAATGGCGAGGTGCAGTGGAAGTTTAGTCCCACCTCGCCAAGTGAAGGGCACCCAGAGACCTGTTTATAAGCCCCGCCGCGGCTGCAACCTCGAGCTCCTCTCAAAAGCAGGCCTATGTGGGCCTAACGAACCTGTCACCGCCCTGTGGGGCCTACTTGCCCTGCGGGCCTGCATCCTGGCCCAACTAGTAGTTCGGTTTCAAGTCATATGCAGGTTGTGGTGGCCTAGTAGGCGGACATTTTTTGTTAATTTTGTAACTTATACTCCCGGTTTGTGGTGGCAACCGGGACTAAAGGTCTTTTTCCAGTTTTTTGCTTTATTTATTTTCTTTTGTTTCTACTTACAACCAAATATCTAGAGTTTTTCACTGAATCTTTTTGCTTCAGGTCACAAAAATTATAAACTTTCTGTTAGAGCCAGTAGTTTTCAAATTTGAATAGTTTAAATTTGAATTCTTTCAAATTTGTGTGAATCACTAGTTCGTGAATAACTTTACTTTAAAAAAAGATTTTTGAGTTCTTTTTCCTGCTGTTTAATATTAGTGTGTTTTATCATTATATTCAATTTGGTAATTTTTAGGTAATTTTAAATGGGTGTTTCAATAAAAAACAGATTATGTTTAGCTCTTTTAGTTTTATAGCTCAAAAATTCGTCAAATGTATAAAAAATAGTGAATGAAGTCAGAAAGGGTTAAAATTGATGATGTGGCTTTGAATGGTGCATGTTGAACGCACGAAAGGTCTGAAGTTGACATAAGTTTAAACAAAATGAAATGCCTTTGTAATAGATGAGTTTTCGTCTGAAACCCTGATACTTCGAAAGAGATTGTCCATTTTGAACACGAAGTGCATCCAGTTTTTGCCGTAACCCTCTCAACATTTTAGCACATGCTATGTGGGTAAAATGATGATACCATGCCAACTTTCAACCTTTTCAGATTTCATTTGTATTGCTTTTCAATTTAAAGGTCATTTAGCTCAAAATAATCATTAAATGCATGAAAAATAGCAAATTAAATTAAAAAGGGTTGAAAATTGATGATGTGGCTTTGAATGGTGCATATTGAACACATAAAAAGTCTGGAGTTAAAATGAGTTTAAAAAAATGAAATGTCTTTGTAATAAATGAGTTTTCGTCCGAAACCTTGATACTTCGAAAGAGATTGTCCATTTTGTACACGAAGTGCATTCAGTTTTTATCGTAACCCTCTCAACTTTTAAGCACATGCTATGTGGGTGAAATGATGAAACCATGCCAACTTTCAACCTTTTCAGAGTTCATTTGTAGTGCTTTTCAATTTCAGGGTCATTTAGCTAAAAAAATCATTAAATGCATGAAAAATAGCAAATTAAGTCAAAACGGTTAAAAATTGATGGCATGGCTTTGAATGGTGCATGTTGAACGCACAAAAAGTCTAGAGTTGAAATAATTTTAAGAAAATGAAATGACTTTATAACAGATGAGTTTTCGTCTGAAACCCTGTTACTTTGAAAAAGATTGTCCATTTTGTACACGAAGTGCATCAAGTTTTTGCCATAACCCTCTCATCTTTTTAGCATATGCTATGTGTGTGAAATGATGATACGATGCCAAGTTTCAACCTTTTCTAAGTTCATATATAGTGTTTTTCAATTTCAGGGCCATTTAGCTCAAAAAATAGCAAATGAAGTCCTACATGGTGGATGAAATATTTTGTTTGGACATAACCACTCGTACAGCGAGGTGCTAAACAACGATTTTTAACCCCTTTCCGTGGCGGTGTTTTGAACTATCGCCTAGTGAGTGGCTGTGATAGGGGGGGTCTTTCCCACACGACCCATAAACCGTCGGGGATAGGCCCTCTTGTCACACACGCTCGGCAAAATGAGGTCACGTGCGACCGACGAGCGATCAAATACGATTATACAGGTCCAATCGGTTCCGGTCATAAGTACATCCCACATAGTTAGTCCCAAACAAATGTTTCTGTTTGTTATGTACATTCCACATAGTCAATCCAAGGAATACGTTTCCGTTCTTATGTACATCCCACACAGTCAACCCAGAGAAACGTTTTCGTTCGTATGTACATCCCACACAGTCAATCGAGGGAAAACGTTTCCATTCGTATATACATCCCACGCAGTTTTATGTATAGCCTCGTGTGTGATAGGTGTATCTATCACACACGCTCTGCCTCGATTTACTGTTTGCTTTTATTCCACTACATCACACACAGTTTGATGAAGAAAATTGTATGTCATTGGGCTATCCATCACAAGCGCTTTTACTGTTAGAACCGTTTGCAAAGTTCCATGACCCATTTAGCAGGTTTATTAGTTTACAATTAATTATTCCAGTATGACGCAAATTCACATTTCATATCGAATAGTTGTTTGCCAACTTCATATAAGACACATAAATATATTTTAGCATCATAGTATGATAGCTACCTGAAAACATCACAATACATATAGCTAGTTCACCTTCATAAGAACAATATTAGAACAATATATTCATTTCCCTAATCGAGATCATCCAGGCTCGTCTTATCCACCTCTGCTTTCAGTTCAGTAAGAACCTATTTTGCACTGCCAACTAGGAAAGTGCATCCTCCTTCGCCAACACCATCTTAGCAAAGTCTATTAAAAAATCTGAGCTCATTCTCCATCTTCCTCTTTTTATCTCGCATCTTCAAATATTCTTCAATGTTGACAACACTTTCTCTAAGCCTAGCTCTGTTCTCTTCCTCATACATGCTCTAGAGCTTTTCTACGCACATCTTCAAAGACTGTGGCCACTCTTGATCAACCCACTCCATGTAAGAACACTTCCGTTCATCCTACAATATTTAAAATTATATCAGTAACAATTGTAGGGGAAATGGGTTTCTAGCAACATAGAAAATCACCAAATACATATTCTGAAAAACTGAAGAAATAGGTTAATTGTGACACTCATGTGATCATAGAAAATCTCCCTAAGGCATGTTGTTGCATTGGTTTTACTGGAAAAGGATTAGTCGATGCCTCAACGGGTTAAGAGTTTTCATTAATAAGACTTGCCAGTACATGTTAGATTGCATTGTTGATGGAGGGGTCGCCGATAGATATGATGACTGAGGAGCTGATGTAGGTAAGGACACTGACAAGTAAGGAGGAAGGTAGACATTTTTTTAAGAGATGGAATCACTGAATTTAGGAGATGAGGAAGCATTGGTAGTCACTGGAAGCAAGGAGTTAATACTTGGCTCAGATTTCCTGACTCCTGTTGATTGAGACAAGGAGGCTAGAGTTATCAATTGCTGATGATATATATACATAAGGATAATGCTTCATTAATTAAGATCTCAATTAACAAGGACAAGAGACAGCTGAAAACTGCACCTGGTTAAGACGAGGAGCCAACTAGAGCACAATCCAGCTAAGATTCTAATTAATTTCTGGTGATGAGGTGGCACACGCCAAAATGTGACATACTAATTAGCTCCTTATATAGAGGTAAACACACCATTACAACTGAAGAATAGTTTTATTAAACCATTTAGTTTATAGGAAATCAGGAAACAAAGCACCGCATCGTACAAGAGACACACATCTCCAAGTGACAACTTACAAGATTAAGAAACCAGAGCATCCAGCCAAACATTCTTTAACAAAGACATGCCCAGGAAGCCAGGTTTGCACATCATCAAACTAACAGACTAGATAGGAATGACACTAGATTGGCCAGCCAAATTTCTTTATTAATAATGACATGCCCAGGATGTCAATATCCAAAATAACCAGACCATAAGATCAAGAACCAGATGTCGTTTTTCATAACAAAGACATGCCTAGGATGTTAGGTTGCCCATCATCAAACTGACATACTACAGGAAAAGACACTAGACCGGCCGGCCAAACTTCTCAATAGTGACATGCCCAGGATGTGGAGATCAAAGGTGAACATCTTCCTCATTCTCCTCAATCTCATCCTCCACCACTTCCCTTTTAGAGATCCCAGGGGGCGATGTGCGAGTTTCTTCATGCACCCTGACAGTGGAATACTGAATCGATGAAGCTCCCTCCAGCAGCACCTGTTTATCCACCTCGTTTTGTAGACCTGCCCAATGACGCAAAAAGACACACACGGGTGTTTTTTTATCAAAGCAAGCTTTTTTTACGAGTTCTCCACAAGGCGCAACAAAAAGCAGCGATACCAACTATATGTATATTATAATTCCCAAATGGATTTTATCAGCAGCCCATAAAAAAATGATGCGCAAAGCAAGTAGGCATATCAAGAAGGCCAACTGAGTTGCAAATCGAGCTCCACATATAAGTGGCAGCCAAACACACAAAGAAAAGATGGTGTATGGATTCAACCTCATCACAAAACTACAGGAAAAGTCTCCAACCACTTACTTTTCTTCATGTTATCTTTGGTTGCAATTGCATTATGCCAGATTAACCAGAGCCAAATTTTGATCTTCAGAGGGATCTTGGCTTTCCATATCAAGGCTTAAAAGACCTATTCGGAACTCAGTGAATAAATGTTGGTAAACTGATTTGACAGGGAACATTCCAGATCTAGAAAATCTCCAATTGGATAGTCAGTAGACTCATTCAGGGCTAGCTATACCATACAGGAATGTCCTAATTTCACTACACTACTATTGCAAGTTAGGCAACAACACCTTCTAAACCTCAAATAGCATTGTGATGCGGCAAGATCAGCTACAGTTTTATCCGTGTCACAACTAATATCTTACAGGCCAAGAAAGATAGCACTCCAAGGACTGCTACCACACTAGGAATCCCGCCGGAAGTCAGTCTGGGTCCCATTGCCAATCATCATCTTTTCTCAAGTTGGTCTGATTTACACATCGTGGAGTCAGATTGCTTGTGCTCAACCTGCATTATTCCATTATGAGTTTCATACTTTGCTCTAACCAACTGTTGCCGCGGACCATCTCCATACTCCAGCTTCCACAACCACTTACATAAAATATGGCCACATTAAAGAATTTCAAGTTCTTAATCCCAAGGCCACTTTTGCACTCGGGTCTGCAATCCAACGCCCATTTGACCAAGTGGTACTTTCTTTTAGGGCTCCCCCCTTGCGAGAAATACCGGTGTATAATCCTACTCATTTGCTCTAGGATCGAATCATGCAACAAAAACATTGACACACAAAAGATGGGCACAATGCTAAGAGTGGAGTAAATCATAATTAATCTGCCCCCAATGGACAAAATCATGCCAATCCATCCATCCAGGCACTTCACCGTCTTGTAAATGAGAGGGCCCCGATCGCTCACATGCAGCCTAGACCCACAGACAAGCACTCCTAAATACTTGATAGGCTAAATGCAAACAAATCAGCAAATTTCAGAACTTTCTCACTATCATCTAGTATCATAATGATTTCACTCTTGTCGAAGTTTATTTTGAGCCTAGACATAGCTTCAAATAAATACAATATGAGATTCATGTTAACACGCTTATTCTTTATCATCTTGCAAAAAATAGTACTATCGTCAGCGCATTGCAAAATCGGCAATCCTTTATCGATAGAAAAATAGTACTATCGTCAGCGTATTGCAAAATCTTGACTGAGCCTTGCTGATTATCCTATTCAAACTATCCGCGGGAAAATTAAATAAAAAAGGCGATAACAGATCTCCTTGGCTAAACCAACGATGACTGCCAAAGTAAGACCCACAACAGTTATTAATATTGACACACAACGTCCACCCCCCTCCGCGCGCACAATCTGGGCAATCCACTTGACCCGTTTTATACTAAATCTCTTAGCTCAACACATCTCCGCAGATATGCCCAGTCAACTTTGTTGTAGGCCTTCTCGAAATCCAGTTTTAGAACAACTTCCTGTGACTTCTTTCTCCTGGTTTTGTGGAACACCTCATGAAGAACCAAAACCCCTCCATAATGTTCCTATTTCTGATAAAGGCAGACTGGCAGGTAGCTATTAACTTGCTCATAAATGGTTAGCTCTTATGGTCGAGGCTTTGGAAAATATTTTAAATAGAACCTGCAAGAACAAATCGGCCTGAATTTTTGAATAGTTTCAGCATCCCAAATTTTTTGGCAATAGAATAATCACACAAAAGTTGATTCTGTTCAAGTCAAGTTTATGTGAGCACAAATCCTCAAAGAACTACATTAGATCATTTTTAATGATATGCAATACTTTTGGTAAAACTCAATAGGAACAACATCAGGTCCACGTGCCCTATTACCAGCCATACTATCAATGGCAACCTTTCAGCTTTAGAAAACTCTATCTAACATCTCTCAGTCAGTCAGAGAGCACACCACCCGTATCCTAGGTATCATTTCTCATGCTAATTGGGTTTCCTTCTCCATGTCCAAATAATACCTTACAATATTCAGTAGCATGTTTTAAAATATATATGTTCTGATGCTGCATTACTTCATTCCCATTCTTCATAGCGTAGAGCATTTTCTTTCTAGCTCTGCCATTAGCAATTTTATGAAAAATCTCCATATTAGCATCCCCTTGCAACAACCATCTTTCTCCAAATCCTTTATGCTATAATCTCTCTTCCTCCTCATATATATATGCAACAATTGCTCTTCCACATAACTTTTTCTAGCATACAACACCCCCACCCTGAACACGGGTTCCTCCAAACTTTCCATATTAGCAAGCTCAACAAGCAACTCCTTGTTCCTCTTGACAATATCACCTCTCAAATTAATCACCCAACCTTTGAGACTGGCCTTCACATTTTTCAGTTTCAACAGGAATCTTCCAAGGTTATCTTTGGCATAAACCCGAGACTGGCAAGCAAGATCAACTCTTCTCATAAACTCAGGATGAGAGAGCCAAGAGGTTTCAAACCTAAATTCTTGACTCGTTTGTTCACAAATCTCCTCAATGTCCATAATCAAAGGATTATGTTCTGAGACAGCTCTAGGCAACTTCCTAACATATGTTGTTAGTGGGAATGTCAATTCCCATTTGTCGTTAATCAGAAATCTATCCAACTTCTCCAAAGTAGGGCCCTCTTGGTTATTACACCAAGTATATGCCCCACCAACCATATGCAACTCCCTTAATTCATGAATTTTAATAACATAAGTAAACATGCCCATATATCTTTTATTGTTTACAACTTTATTCTTATCACTATGAAAACACAAAATATTAAAATCACCACCTATTAACAAAGGAATGAATTGATCTATACACAAATCAGATAAAGTAGCTAAGTAAGATTCTTAATCACAATCCTGAGCAGCCCCATATACAATCACCAAGTACAATTTATGCAGTGATTTTCTATCAGTCAATAAAACCCTCACAAAAAATCTACCAACATCACTATCATGAATATCAAATCTAGAGGATTTGATGCCACATAATAACCCACCAGACTTTCCCACAGAGGGGACCAAAACCAAGAGTATACAGCCCAGTATCAAATTTTCGCTACACAGGGGAGTCAATATGCTCCTTAATAGTTTCCTAAAGCTCCCCAAAGTCAACATTATTATCAAAAAGAAGATCTCAAACAGGAAGACATGCCTCTCTTTCCCACCCCCGCTGCAATTCCATGAGACCAATCATTGATATTTATTAGATCTGTTGCGAGTCCTAGGGCCTGACACAATCACACTCAACGGGTAGTTTTTGCCGGTCCTACTTAGGGATACTGTGCCACTAAGGGACACCCCATTAAGAATTTTCTCAGCACTATTCTTTTTAAGATTTTGGTTAGCTCTTCTCGATAAAATAGGAGACAAGTTATCCACCAAACTGAGTATTCTATCATCAGGAACATGACTTTTACCCACATTAGCAGCCCCACGTCTCTATTCATAATGGAAGAACTCCTATTCAGTGAATTAGTAATACCTTGGTTCCCTTCAATCAGACGAGCAGTATGCCAGCATTTGTTGTTTTCCTGGCACAATAAAATGAATTGTTAATTTTAGTATAAGGGAATGAATATCTAACTAGTTGAATGATAAAATCATATTAGTTACATAATTAATTGATACTAAACTCTGATACCATAAAAGCATTTCTTTGTTTATATCATTTCCATCTTAGAGAATTTACTAACTGGTAAGTTGTATCTAAATACAAATAATCAAGGTTGTCAGTGAGATAACCTTAGGTTGAATTATTTTTGGATTAACAAGTACCAGAATTGATGACCAGAATGTAAAACATGAATAGAAAGGCAGGGATAAGATCAACAACAACAACAACAACAACAAAGTATTTCAGTCCCAGACAAGTTGGGGTAGGTTAGAGTTGAAACATGTAAGATCAACCAAGTAAGGTATAGAACATGAATAGTTCCATGTACGCCTGTCCATGGCTAGTTCTTTGGTGATATTCCAGACTTTCAGATTTGTGTTCATGGACTACTCCCATGTCAAGTTCGGTCTACCCCGACCTCTCTTGACATTATCAACACACTTTAACTGTCTGTGATCCACTGGCACTCCTGGAGGCTAGCGTTGTATATTCCCCAACCATATCAGGTGATGTTGGACCCGATCCTTTCTTGTGTGGCCACATATCCATCTCAACATGCTCATCTCTACTACACATATCACCTTTTAGCTAGCAAACATTTGTAGCCATAAACATCGCAGGTTGAATCGACATCCTATAGAATCTTCCTTTTAGCTTTTGTGGCCGTCTCTTGTCACAGAGGACACCAGAAGCTTGGTGCCACTTCATCCGTCCAGCTTTGATTCGATGGCTCACATCTTCGTCGATATCACCATCCTTCTACAACATTGACACCAAATATCGAAAGGGGTCTTTCTGAGGTACCACATGTCCATCAGGGCTAACCTCCTGCTCCTCATGCCTAGTAGTACTGAAACCTAGTTCTACCATGCCTAAAATTAAACCTTTCGATTCCAAAGTTTGTCTCCACGGCTCTAACTTTCTATTAACCACCGCCTGAGTATCAATGACTAGCACCACATCATACAAAGAGCATACAACATAGGATATCTCCTTATATATCCCATGTGACCTCATCCATCATCAAAGTAAAATGAGAAGGGCTCAAAGCCCAACCTTGGTGGAGTCTTATTTTAATAGTAAAGTCATCAGTGTCATCATCACTTGTTCGAACAGTTGTCATAACATTATCATGCACGTCCTTGATGAGGGTAATGTACTTTGTTGGGACTTTGTGTTTCTCCAAGGCCCACTACATGACATTCCACGGTATATGGTGGGCCTTCTCCAAGTCAATGAAAACCATATACAGGTCCTTTTGCTCCATATATCTCTCCATAAGTTGTCGTACCAGGAAAATGGCCTCCATGGTCAACCTCCCAGGCATGAAACCAGACCAATTTTTGGTCACGCTTGTCTTTCTTCTTAAGCAGAGCTCAATGACTCTCTCGCATAGATTCAGTATATGGCTCAATAGTTTCATTCCACGTTAATTAATACAACTTTGAACACCCCCTTGTTCTTGAACACATGTACTAATATACTCTATCTCCATTCTTCTAACAACTTGTTGCCAAAAATGAGGGCGAAAAGCTTCGCTAGCCATACGCCATACTATAGTATGGCTCTAAGGCCTCTCCATACCTCAATGGAGATACAATCAGGGTCCATCGCCTTGCCACCTTTCATCCTTTTTAAAGCCTCCCTGACCTATTAGTACCATCAAAGGAGTAGTACAACTCAACAGTAGAGCTATCATTCTCTCCATTGAACAACTTATCGAAGTACTCTCTCCATTTGTGCTTGATCATCACCTTCACCAGAAGTTGAACTTTTCCGTCCTTAATGCATTTGACTTGGTTATATCCCTTGTCTTCCTCTCTTGGATCTTGGCCATCTTATAGATGTCCCTTTTGCCTTCCTTTGTCCAGCTCAACAGTAGAGATATCATTCTCTCCATTGAAAAACTTATCGAAGTACTCTCGCCATTTATGCTTAATCATCACCTTCACTAGAAGTCTATCTTCTCCGTCCTTGATGCATTTGAGTTGGTTATATCACTCATCTTCCTCTCTTGGATCTTGGCCATCTTATAGATGCTCCTTTTGCCTTCCTTTGTGTTTAAACGATAGTAGAGTTCCTCGAACACCTAACCCCTTGCTTCACTAACAGCTTGCTTTGTGGCCTTGTTTGCCACCTTGTACTTCTCTATGTTATCTGCACTCCTTTCCACATGCAAGGGTCTGACATAGTCTTTCTTCTCCTTAATAGCTTCGCTTCTACTTCCCATGGTCACCCCAAACTCCTCTAAAGCCACCTTCCAAACGCAAGTCGCCATCTTCATCCACTTTTTTTTCCATCACCTCCATCCTCCCAAGGGCCCTCCTTACTAACCCATCTCCTTGAAAGCATGAGTCGCCCCCTCCCCCTTAAGCTTCCCCACTTCATTCTAGCAACTCTGGCGCACTTATCCCGCTAGACATGAATCTGAAAGCGAAAGTCGACCACCACAAGCATTGTTGAGGGACAAAACTTTCTAGGCATCACCTTACAATCTAGGCAAGCACATATGTCTTCTCTTCTCAAGAGGACGGAATCAAACTAGCTAGAGTGTTGATCTCTACTAAAAGTCACTAGATGGGGGTTTTCTCTTTTTAAAGAGGGTGTTAGCTACAATCATATTGTTGGAAAGCGAAGCTTAAGTATACCTCTCCTTGATTCCGCTGCCATAGCCAAACCCCGGTTTACCCCATCAAAAAATGTGTTAGATGTGCTCACGTGGCCATTGAGGTCTCCTCCTATGAAGAGCTTCTCGTTGTACACTCGCAAGCATGTCCTCCGGGCCTTCCCAAGACTCCCTCTTGGTGCTCTCATCGTGGACTAGTTAAGGGGCACAGGCGCTGATAACACTGAAAATGAAGTCCCCAACTCTTGAAAACATTGAGGCTTTGGATGATCTTGGCAAAGGATCAACCTTCTGCAACTCCCTATCAACCAACTTAAGGACACCTCAGCTAGTTCTAAGTGGGTGATTGTGCCTGGGATGGGATCACCTCCTCATGTGCTGGTAGATACCATGAACAAGCTGAAGATAACTGACCTTAGGCAGCCTTTCTTTGGCCCTCCAGCGCGTGAACAATGTCCTCTACTCGAGAGTGTTGCATCAAGCCCTGCGTTACCTCTGGAGATTACTTGGTCACTGTTGGCCTCACTGAAATGTCACAAGATCTCCAACATTTGCGAAGCTCTCTCACCTATAACTAGATGTGTCAATGCTAAAGGGTTGTATGCCTCAAAGCAGGTCCACTAGTAGTTTGCGGCCTTTTTGCTTGGCCAATCTCTTTAGATTTGTTCTTCCTTTCAAGTGTAGTTTTTGGATTTTTTGAATACTTTGGTTGTAGCATGTAGTTCGTGCGATTTCATTTATATGGAGCTAGGGAGAGACTTCTAAGTCCCTATCAACGATCTATTCACCATCGGTCTTATGATTGAGCATGAGTCATGTAATATACTATAGTGGGTAGGAGCCCAAGGAATCTCATTGGAGAAAATAAAGATAGATTACTCAAGTTCATGCCCCTGAGATGTATAATAGACCTACGTCCTGCTATGAGTTTTGTAAGAATGGTGATCTAAATGACTTGAGTATTTGGCAGAGGTCTTTGAGTCCTTCGGCATGAAGTCTTGAATATTCGGTGATCTAATCCTCTAGAAAATTAGGAACACATCCTCTAGTTATAATAGAATCCTGGAGTTAGCGTGCCACTAGCCAACGCAACCAAAAGTCTGAATTCATTAAAGGGGTTAGGCAATCCACATATACACTTCAACACCCCCTCTCACGTGTGACGCGGGAAGTCAACATGTGAATAGAGTTAGAGGTATGGCACAAGAGGCCTATACGTGACACAGAGGGGGCAACAGCAATTTTTTGGATAAAATGCGAAAGCCGGGACTTGAACTAAAGAAGTTAGGCCCTGATAAATACCATGTTAAGCTTCATGCACTAGCCAACACAGCCAAAATCCAAACTCATGGAAAGGGGCAAGTTACATATACACTTCAACACCCCTTTTCACGTGTGATGTGGGAACATACTTAGAGCTACGGCTCCGGAGGGCTATACG